CCAACAAGCACCACTTATCACACCAAAATGGTGTATTTGCCAAAAAAATACTCCAACAGACACTTCATTTTCGACACCATTACACCAAAATGGGGGAGGGGGAGAGTTCACGCCATATATGGCGTACACCAAATGTTCCACCATCTTTTTTTTAATTTTTTTATTTCAAAAGTACCCAAAGTTTTGATTGTTATAGTTTTGATCCATTTTTAAAACAACAAATTAGGATGATTACTTGGACTGAAATTGCTGGTCTGCTCTAGTCTGGTATGATTTGGTCTGTTCTGGTTTGAACTGATGCGGTCAGGTCTGATCATTTGTGGGAACAATTCTCAAATTCCGATAACTAAACTAAGAATATTTATTTATTGTATTGCTTTAACTTTAAGTAGTACTTCATGAATGACGTACAAATTATTATAATATTATTGTAATATTTAATTTTATGTGGTTTAGCTTGTATTTGTGAAATATTGATTATTGTATTTTAATTAGTTAAATGCGTGAAAATACATATTAAAATAGTGTATTTTTGTTTGTATGTGTGAAATAATGTGTGAAATGTCAAAATATTAAATGAGGGGTTAATGTATATATGATAATTACATATTTAAATAGAAGAATGGTAAAAAGTTAGTAAAAACTAAAAAGAATAAAAAGGGAATATTTCTTTTTGTTATTGAAAATGGTGTAAACTGTTGGAGATAAATACTATATGATGTGATGTTTACACCATTTTAATGTAAAAAATGGTGTAGCCGGTCAGTGATGACCTAAGTTCTTTAGGGTTTAATGCACCAAACCCCCCTGTGATACGGAAATTTGGCATATTAGCCCCATGTGATTTAAAAAATGCGTCAAACCCCCTTGTGTTTTAATTAATCATGCACATAACCCATTTTATGAATAAATTTAATGATTTGGAAACCACTTTTCCTAATATTCTGATTGAATGTACAAGTAAATATGTCAAAATCTCTAAACCATACAAAAATGTTAATCATTTTTCTTTTATTTGACAATTGAATTTATTCATAAAATGAATTTTGTGCTTGATTAATTAAAACAAAAGAGAGTTTGATGCATTTTTTAAATCATAGGGGCTGATGTGCCGAATTTCCATATGAGAAAGGGGTTTGGTGCATTAAATCCAAGTTATTTAAGACTGGCCTCCATAAGCTACCATTTCTAACTCGGTCACTGAGATGAGTTTTTACTATAAACTACTTAGAACCGTGCTTTGTTTGAGGCTGGTGAGACAATGGTCTCAGGGCCCCAAAAATGTAAAAAAAAAATAGAGGCCCATAATCTAAAATATCTTTCTATTGTCTATATATATTTGAATTATAAAAGACCTACCTTGGTTTAAATTTTATGTGCTGCTGTGCTTTCAAACTAAAATAGCCGACCAACAAGTACCAACGAAGTGGAACGGAACGGCCGAACAGATGTTTTAACTTTTGAAATTGTAAAACTATAAAGATTATGGGTCTAAAATGGCAAAAATGGCTTAACTTTTGAAATAGCTAAAATGGTCATCTACAATAACTTCAGCCAATACAGTCAGAAAAGTAACTTCAACCTTACTTTTTCTGCTTATTACACAATTCAGTGCGTGAAAGCAAAAATTACGTGTTTGGTGAAAAAGTTGGTTATAAGCCTGATAAGCCGAAAAACAGTGTTGCCAAATGGCCTCTAAAAGTTACCGGCAATACATATGAATATTGACAGATTAATATTTGCTTCGTCTTATGAAACATGGTCATATTGAATTTTTTAGTCAATAATAGTCAAATGTGACCAATGATATATTTTAAATAATACAAAATTATTTCAAAAATGAAAAGTGTATGAAAATGTTCTTCGTTAAAAGTATTTTCATTAAAATATATTCCGTTAAAGTTTAGGTTTCACAACAAATATAATAACTAATTAAAATCATTGTTCAAATTTTATTATCATAGATCAATCATCAATAGTGTTGAAAATTAAACTTGTTTTTAGGCCTAATTAATATTTAGTTTTAGTTGTTGTTGGGAAGGCCCAAATGATAGAAAATGTAGAAGGAATGAATTCTAGAGCTTCTCTAGAAGATATGGTCTCTGGAACTCTCCTATCATTAATTGTATAGAATTGTCTAGAATGCATTAATTATAGAAGAGTCTAGACACTTTGTACTAGTATAAATAGAGCTCCCCTACCATCACTTTGTATCAAGCAAATCAAGCAAATTGAGTTGTTCTAATAAAATGATTTCTTCCCCTTTGTTCAAATATCTCTTCCATAATATTTCTAATTTAGCCTCCCAATTTCCCAAATCTTCCTTCACTTATTTCCAACAAATAGAAGTAAAATTGGTCAAGTTTTGTGAAACAAAAAGAGTATCTTTTTAGGATTTTCTTAAAATAGTCACATTGTTATCCTTTAACATTGTTTTAATAATATATTTGGATACACTTTATTTATTTATTTTGATCCATCATATCTACAAACATGTATGGCGTCAGGTTTTCAAATTTGCTGATAAATTCAGAGGTTCATACAATGATAGTATTAAAGATATTTGTCCATTCTACTGCGATTATAGTGGGTACCAGGTATATTTACATTATTGATTAATACATATATACTTGCACCTTTCTTTTCTCATTTGCATTTAGTTAAATACAATACAAATAATGTCTTATCAGTTCAAAGTTCAACATAAGTAGAGTAGTGATCAAGTTAAATCTTCCCTATCACGCAAAACGTCTAGTATTCACAAAGCCTTGCTATGATGTTAATAATTTATGTTTTCTCATCCAGTCATCTTTATATTCTATTATTTTGGTACTCATTTGAATTCAATGAGTTATGTTTTAATTTGTTTCACTTGTTTGAATTTGGTTGTGATCACTTATTATTAATAAATTTGTAATGATAAAGTGTTTAAAGCTTAAAGTATTGGAATTGTCTTATGATACATGAGGAAAGTAAGGCGGTGCATTGACATACTTAAAATACTCACTCCAACTTCTCAAATGTTAAAGAGCAATCAGAATTATACTGTGATACATACATGACTAAGGGTATGTTTGAGAGTTTGAAAGGAAGGGGTGTGGAAGGTTTTGGAGGTTAGTCATCGGAAGAGAAGGGTAGGGAAAGGGTTGGAAACCCTTCTTCTTGTTTGGGAGTATTAATTACTATTAATGCATATTAAACACATCATCGACATGATCGTAAATCGTATTCTCATTTGTAAGACTATTTAACGTCAGTTATAACCGACGCTATGAATGACCATCTATTTGGGCAGCTAATTTGATTTCAACTATTTACCGTTGGTAAATCCGTTCTCATTTGGCATCGGTTATTTCAACGGTTATCAAACCCGACATGAAAATCTCCCCCACGAAGCTGTTACCAACGCCAAAGGAAAAAATACCGACGCCAAATTATTTTCTATGGTACCCAGAGGCGGTTTGAGCATTTCGGAGGTCCCAGACGAAAAATATTTATTATGTACAAATCACTTTTAAAATCAGATAAATTGAATAAAAATCACCTTATGAAAAAAAATATTCAAAGTTCACGATATAATGTTTGTAATATTCAAAAGGATAAATTTTTAAATGCAAACATATGCAAAACACAAGGCAAACTTATACTTGTAACACCCTATTGGCCTATTATTCATACCTTTTGAAGTGCAAAATCAGTAATAACTTCATAAGTCTCAATTTTAAGCTCAAGTCATATTTATCGGGCGCTGGTTCGAGTTTTGGTATTTTTGGAGTCAAAATCATGGAATTTGAGTCCAACACCGGCGTTTGAGAAGCAATAGGGATGAGTTGAGAAGCATTTGAGAGTTGATTAGGAGCATTGGAGACCAGTGAGGTGTTAAAGACAAAGTTTTGAAGACAAAAGAGCTCTAAAATTAGGTACGAGGTCAAAAGAAGACGAGTAGGGCTTGAAAAGAGCGGTCTGGATGACGTTCTATCAATCGTTCAAGCATATATTTTCTTAGGAACATCCAAATAACACCATTCAAGTTTCATAGTAAAGCCAACTTCAAGGGATACAAATCATATGAAAACAGCATTGCGAGAATATGAGAGAAGAAAGGTGAAAACAGACGATGAAGTCAGATAATCTCCGTTGAGATTTCAGAATGCGACCTTCCACCATTTTATTCATATATTTTGATTGGACGATTCAAATCCAGTTTTGCAAGTTGTGTTGGATAGAAGACTTCATTAGCTACAACTTTGATGAAGGAAGGATAGTCAGACGTGAACTGTGAAGCCGATTTCTGCTAGCAGTTATCGCTCGATGTATTGGCGGTCTACAAATAACACCTAATACTAATACCGGGGTAGAATTTTTTGGAGGCCCTCTTGGCAGTTGAGGCCCAAAGCAGTTGCCTGGCCCAACTGCCCTCAAGGCCGCCACTGATGGTACGCATAAGGTACCATACCTTTGTCCACATGGACCAATCAGAATGTTGCAGTTGAATTATTTAAATCTAAATTAAAAATGATATACCGATTTGGACCAATCAAGTGAATGATAGGTACGGTACCCCATTTTTTAATCGGGTACCGGAGTTCTCACAGTTACTTATATACACCGTGGAGATATCGTTAATATATTTCGATTACAAAAACTTAAATTAGTAAGTTGATGATATTATTTTGGCAGGACGAGTTGTTATGGGCAGCCGCATGGCTCTATAAAGCCACAAAAAAGGATAAATATTGGGAATATGTGAAACAGAACATAAATAATATAACGACGAACGGAAGTACGTTTGGATGGGATAGCAAGCACCCTGGTATAAATGTCCTCATCTCCCAGGTTAATTACCATGCAATAAATAGACCTTATAATTATTTCATTGACCTTACTTTAATCAATCCATATTAATCTTTATAAATTTTAATATAATATGCTTAGTGATTAACTAATTTGTTTTCAAGCAGTATGTTTTAAATAGCCAGGGCAGCATAGATAAAATCCCTTTCATTCCTAATGTGGATGCCTTCGTGTGCGCCGTTCTTCCCGAATCGCCTAATAAAGTTGAGAATTTCACTTCTGGTAAGTTGTCTGTAGTTTGTTGTATTCGTCCCACAAAACTTCACGAGTTTTCTTAATTAGTAAATGATACTCCCTCCGTTCCTAAATAAACTTCCAACTTTCTTTTTTCGTCCGTTCCAATTAAAACTTCCACTTTCCCTTTTTGAAAGAATTTGTGGTTCACAACATTACTTACACATTTCTCTCTCCTCTGCACAACTCTCCACCACACAATATCCACTATCTTAAACTTTGTGTCAAACCCATTTGGAAGTTAAAATGGGAACGGAGGTAGTATGTAAGTTGGTCAATAATATTTTTGAATATTTGACACAAGAAACTTATATGAAAATGTTTAAATTTTTAGGAAATAATCTCATAAAAAACTTTGTAGGTAGTTTCGGCACGAATATAATAGTTAAAGTTGTTGTCCAAAATTTACTGTGATTGATATAAAAGCTAGATTATTCATTATAATGAAGTTTTATGTCCAAAATTTTATGTGAAAATTTCGGTGAGCAATAATTTCAGGTGGAATCTTATACCATAAAGATCTAATGGGGAACCTGCAAAGTCCTATAGCTTTGTCGTATCTTATACTTACATATGGAAGGTACTTGGAGAGATACAATAGTACCGGTGTGCTGTGTGGAGAGCTTCTCTTTCCGGGTTCTAAGCTTATAGATTTTGCCAAATCCCAGGTAATTATATACAGGGGCGGACGCAGGAAAGTCTCTTGGGAGGCGAAAATATTTTTTGAAGGGCTCAAAATAATTTTTGGGAAGACGAAAATTATATTTCGTATATATATACACTAAAAAAAATTGTTGGGGGGCGGTAGCCCCCTGAATCTCTACTATGATCCGCCCCTGACTGTATATCTTACCATTCAAAAAGAAGATCCTAATATTCCCTAGCTCTTTTTAATAAAGATTGATTTTCTTCTATTTGTTAGTGATTTTATACACACGAATTAATATAATACATGCAGGTGGACTATGTCTTGGGAGATAATCCGATGAACATGTCGTATATGGTAGGATATGGTGAGAAGTATCCACAAAGAATACACCACCGAGCATCATCAATGCCCTCCATTGAAAAGCATCCAGAACGCATTGGTTGTAAAGATGGGACTATATATTTCAACAGTTCAAGCCCTAACCCAAACTTGCTGCTAGGAGCAGTGGTTGGAGGACCTAATGATGGAACTGACAATTTTGTAGAAGATAGAATGGATGCTGGTAAATTGGAGTGTGCAACTTATATTAATGGACCACTAGTTGGTCTTTTAGCTTATTTTAAAGCAAACCACTAGCAACACACTACAAGCTAGATAGGACTTCATTTGAAGACCCAAGATTATTAGGAGCTTTTTACTCGCACTACAAAAAATGATGAGATTGACACGAATTGATCGATGATTCCGTGTCAAATAGCTTGTGATAAAACAACATTGACACAGATTTAGAGTATCTGTGCCAAATCCGTGTACACATGATAAATTGGCATCATGGCTAGTAGCTATGTACAATGCCATGTCATTTAAATCTTACTCCATATATGTTTAAGAATAGTATCTTGGTGTGATAATTATACAAAGACGTAAATTAATACTCCCTTCGTTCGTTAAAATTTGGCCAAATTTGACCGACACTTGAATCAATAAGGTAAAAATTATGCAGAAGAGAAAGAATTAATTGGAACCACAAATTGTTTACTTAAAAGGAAAGATGACAAAGTGAGTGAGACAATCAAAAAAAGAAAGTTCAACTCATTTAAGGGATAAGGTGAGTATCTCTAGAGATTTCGATGATACAAATATGAATAATACTACGTATGTTTTTCTCAAAAAGTGACTTACTTTCTTAAAATTTCTAAATTCTTTCAAATTTCTTCTCACTCTCGCATTGAGACAACTGACTCTCCCACAAATTTCAACTCATTTAAGCATTTGAATGTTACTTATATTTCTTTAAAAAAAAAAATACAACTAAATTTTTTCTTCCCGTTTTTTGACAATTATTTCTTAACATTAACAAACAAAAGTGATAACTTTTAGGAACACATAATACTTTCTTAGTCTCTTCATTCCGAAAGTTACACATAAATATGTTGAAGAAAAGTTCAACTCAAAGTCTTGCTAGACTATTTATCCACTTCTCTCAGAAACTCTTGAAGACTAGACACTAGTACAAAAAACACATTCTATAACTAGCTTTTTATATGGGTTCATTTAAACCCCTTATAAAATGTAGGCGCGGGGTCACATTTATAAATAATGAAAGTTTTGAATAACTTAATGGGTAAGTATTATAAATATAAAACTTTATCCATAATGGGTTTATAAATAACCGACATAGTTAACTAAAGATGGGGTTATTTTTATAATTTTCATAAACTTAAGTTTCAAATGGGGTCTTTTTTATAATTTTAACTTATACTTTTTTATGTCACGTGGTTGTTAACTCTTACGAAAGAGTTAATCCCACTAAAAGCCCTAGTAACCGAACAGCCAGATATACAACCCATCAGATATACAACCCATCATTAGCTTCTTTGATTGTTCCAGAAGAAAGACGAAGAGGATGACACTGCGCTGCTCTTCGTTAACTCTCGGCGTGAAACAGCTTTTCATTAACACTCGACGATGTGTTGCTGCTCTTCGTTTACTCCAGATGCGGCACCACTGCTCTTCGTTCCACAGTCTACACCGCACCGCTGCCGTTGCCGCTGCTCTTCTTTAGCACTGGAAGACGCACCGCTATTCTTCGTTAACACTCGACGTCTCAGCGCTGCTCCTTGCTATCAGTCGAAGACCTACCAGTTCCGGAGACTTCTTCTAATGTGCATTAACCACCTTTCACAATAGATAATTTGTCATTTCTTTTTATTTACATTATACACTGAATACTTTTATCAGTTATGCTTCAATTGTTGTACTATTGGTTTTATTGATCTAGATGTTGCTTAAAAATTTCACATAAAAGAAGATACCAAGTCAATTTTACACTATTATATTTTAGTTTAGACTATTTTAAGCTATTTTAAGACTTTAAGCAACCAACTATCCTTTACGGTTTTCAATTTATATCATCAAATGAGAGAGTAACCGGAAACTGAAAAAATAAAGTTATGGAACCAAGCAACACTCGAACCGTGTGCTTGTCAGAATCGGTTAAAGGAGGCGAAGATGTGTATAGCAGCAAAGAATCCGACGTTTCTTCCGCGGATCATCTTGTTGTAATGGTTCACGATATTCTTGGAAGGTATAAGCTAGCATATCTGGTTTTATGTTTATATTTCAGCTCTGTTTATTGACTTGTGTACTCACATTGGATGAAGATTTTAGCTTTTGTTCCTTTCGAATTATGGAAATGTCTGGATTTTAGGCAGCAGTCTTTTTTGAAGCTCTTGATCGATTTGGTAGTTTTACTTCTGTAAACTGAAGTTTTCATCCAAATTACTCTTACAAGTAGCAAATTTTTCTAAGAGGTGGTGGGTAAATTGATAGATTATACTCTGCGTTTGCTTTACAATGTGGTTCCATTTTTTAAAGCTAAGGTGGAAAACATTTGCTAAAATGTAATCCTATTGTGGGTTAGATGTACTCAAGGTGAAGATATTGCGAGAGAGGCTTGGTTTTGATGATACCTTCAACTACAAACAAGAACATGATCTCAATTCAGCTCTAAAAAGGTCCAATGATCTATTACTGTATCAGACTCTCAGTTTTCAATCTGCCCTATCATTCCCACCATTTGATATTCATTTTTATGGAAGAAACTTAATACTCCATCCACCTTGATAATTATAATAATAATGAGTGATGGTCAATGTATAACTATTCAGTTATATTACATGATTTTATAAATTTATTTTTGGGTTCAACTTAATCTGACATGTTTGATAATTAGGAGTTTCTTTTCAAGTTAGATAAAGAACTCTGAAGCATAATCCCATAAACAGTGCAAGTGTCCGATGAAAAAATCTACTTATGAGCATTATCATTTTCCAAAACACTAATTTATCTAAATTCAAAGATGCCGACGCACAACAAAAACAGTAGCGTATAAGCTGGGTTCTTTTTACTTTTACTAAAGCACAAATAAATGAAAATGACACTTTCACCCATGTTTTTCAGCTTATTTAGGTATAGTTCTCTTCAATTTATTTAAAAAAAATATGTAATCCTACCAATTCCGTCATTCCAACTAAAATTTCTAAAAACTTGAGCCAAACTTACCCTTGCCTTATAAGGACCAATTTGCACTTCTAAGTTAGTTCGAGAGCCTATTTGACTCTTTAGCCTTATAAAGCCTTGTTTCAATAGGTGTTTCCCAGATGGAATAGACATATATTTTGACAATGTGGGAGGTAGTATGTTGGAAGCCGCAATTGCCAACATGAACTTACATGGGAGAGTTGCTGTCTGTTGTGTAATCTCCGAGTACACAGATCTCGCAAAGCGGGGCGCACCCAACATGATAGACGTGATTTATAAAAGGATCAAGATCCAAGGGTTCCTTGCTGCTGATTTCATCATGATGAAATCATATACAGATTTCCATGCCAAGACTAGAGAGTATCTCGAGAATGGGAAGATTCCTAAAATAACATGAAGATGGAATGAATGAAAAGCTGTCAACTGTTGACTTGGGCAACCAAAATTCTTGAACTGAGCAGAGTAAGTGGCAATATGAGTTTGCTCAGGTTGCTATTGAGCTTATAGGGGTAAGAACTCCTAACTATTGACATGCTTCATATTAAGAACTCTTATCTATTGACATTTATCTGTAGTTTACTATTCTGGTGTTTTTTTAGGGGTGATTAATTGTCGCCTCCAACTGACAAATCTTATTTGCACTCAACCCTTTTCTTATCTTAAGCAGCTGGATGTACTTGTGTCCTTAACTGTCAGAGTTGCATTTCCGTTTTCATTTGCTATAGTAATTGTGCAGCCCACAAGTTTATATTTCTTTTGCTCTCATTTTAAAGAAAAAAGTTACAGATACAACTGGGAGGGTCATACTGTTCGATTCATTTGGAGTAAAGTTGCATTTTCTCTTTTTTTCTGGTTGCAAGTGTTCTTAAATTATGTATATGGATGTACTTTTTTTCGTGCAAGTACCTTCGCTGCTTCAGATGTTGCTACCCCAACATTGAGGCGCATAGAGAGAGCTGCAATAGCTGCTGCTACCCCAATATCATACCATGCTAGGTGATGCAATATTTCAAATAGTAAGTTATTTCTCTTTTCCTATGTTGCAATTACAAGAGAATGGAGGTAGTATAAAATATGGAGTAAACCTTTACCAAAGTGCTAGAGTGTTGGCCGTTGAATTCACAGTTTCACACAGTATATTAGATTGTACATTCATATACGCTATTCACTTTTTTTTGATGGTATATACGCTATTCAATTGAAAAGTAAAATTTTAAATTTTGTCACTTTTCCAGTTTTCCTTTCCGACAAGTCTTCTACTCCGTATTTCACAAAAGTGACGTCTCAGCCACCCAAAATGATACGTTATGCCATGTGGTGCTGCATTTTTATTATACTCCTCTTTGTCTATGTTTCTCTTAATACTTTACCATGTTTGAGTGATACGAGAAATAATAAAGTAAAAATTGTGTAGTTGAGTTTTGTGCAGATGAGAGAAATAACAGGAACCACAAATTCATTAATTAAAATGGAAAATAATAAAGTTTGTGAGACAATCAAAAAAAGGAAATATGACAAAGTTATAAGGGATAGATGAAGTATCATTTAATAACAATACACTTTATAAAAAGGATGAATTTGTTTTGACACTATAACGTACTGTAATTTGCTTTGAACCTATGTACTTTGGTGTAATATATATTATTGTATATATAAAGCTAAAAGGAAAAGCTTTTTTTAAAAAAATTATTACATTTTAAAATATAAGATCACTTATATATATATATATATATATATATACATATAGGGGTTAGTTCCTGTGAGAACACCCTCTTAGGAGAGGTAAAAAGATTCAAATCCAATTGTTGGTCCAAAATAGGACGCTCGTAGGCTTTTAGAAAAACTACGTACGACACTCAAGCAAGAATTAGGAAAGTAC